GCCACTGAGCCATCTCTCCAGCCCCAGGTAAGTCATTTCTTGTCCCTAAAATTAATTTTCTTATAAAGTGGTTGGTTTTAGCAGCATCAATATAGATCTCATAAGCAGAAAACTTAAGCTCACATATGGTTATGAAAACAACTCAAAAACTTACCAAAACCACATTAACTATAACCATAAGAAAGGAGTCCATCAATTCCCTTATATCCATTTCTCAATGTCACTAAAGAAAAACATTTGCACTCAATCTATTCACTGTGTATTATGAGCTTCTTCCTATATGTGGAAAGATAGTTTCAGCATAGGCAAAGAAAAGTGACCTATATAATATAAAGTGACTTCTTTAGTCTGTGACTACAGAAAGATCTAATCATGTCATCATCTTATAAAAGCTAGGAATATGTCAATTTACTTTATATCTTCCAAAAATAAAGCCTCAAGATTTGTCTCAAAGCAACACCCTAAAGTACCTGTGTGCTTATTAAAGGAATTGCTAGGAATAAATTTATCATCTGAGTGTGACTCTACATGAAACAAACAACTCAGCAATTTAGCACTTACAGGATGGTTGTTACTCACATGAACTCTATAAAACAACACAGTTGTTATCATACTTTGCCTTCAAGGGGCTTAAAATCTAGTAGAAGAATGAGATATGTACACAAACTACTAAGAGCCTTTCTCAAAGTGTTATTATTCATCTGAATCGTGGAAGACAGTAAATGAATCAAGTGGTCTTCTCAATCTTTCAAGGATGGCACATTCCAGATGCCATCCTTGAAAGACTGGATCCAGAAGGATGGTTTAGGGCACAGTATGAGGAAGGCATCAGAAGGTGGTATATAAAAGACCACATATTATGGTTCAAGTTTGTATTCCCTGATTCTACTAAATTAGAGCTCTCAAATAATTTGAGCACAGAAGCAGCATAATCAAACATGTAAAATACTACTCTAGCAATAGTAGAGACAAAAGGAGAAAATGAAAAGAAGACCAACTATAAGATTACAGAAATAATGTCAGCTTCAGATGCAATAATGTTCTGAACTACATTTAGATCAAGATGAAACAGTAGAGAACAGAGTTGGGAAACGGCAGGTCTGAGAACAAGTCTTCTCCAACACTTTCATTCTGAATGACTGAGATGGTGGTGATTCCATGAAACAATAGACTCATAGTAGTTAAGGGTTTTCAAGAAACATTAATGGCTTCATTTCTTTTTTTAATTTTTTTAATTTTTATTTTATGTGTATGCATGTATTGCCTGCATGTAGGTAAGTGCACCCATGTCGTGCAATGCCTGCGGTCAGAAGAGGCTGTCAGATCCCCTGAGACTGGAGTTAGACAGTTGTTGGCTGCCATGTGGGTACTGGGATTCAAACTCAGGTCTTCTGCAAGAACAACCAGTGTTCTTAACCACTGAGCCATCTCTCCAGCCCCATGGCTTCGTTTCTTAAGGAAACAGAGACCTGCCTTTTTTGTATTCTTAACTCTGCTAGATTATTTTAGATTTTTTTATTAATTATAAAGAATCAACATTTAAGACAACTGGGCATTAAAGTATTGATGTTCTTATATAACTTACGATAATATTAATGAAGTCAGAAAATATTCTAAATAAATGGTGTTTTAATGATAATGATTACCATCATTTAGTTAACAAAACACACAGATCTTGACAAGGCTGTACAAGACGCCAGTTTATTCATAAACCAGCCTACAGTCAAGGATTTGAGAGTTTCTCTAAGAAAGGAGTAACAAATAGTCATTGCCCTAAAGTATTTAAAGAATGTTGGAAAATGTTACAGAGATCCTTGGCAAGACTACAAGACCTTTCCCTAACTGGTCTTTAAATTAAACTTGGAATATGGGCACATGGATTAAGGTCAAATCTAAAGTCTCTTACCCACTGCTCCTATCTTCAAGTCTTAAAAATTAGTGCGTACTGGAAGAATCAAATCAGTAGCCAGGAATTTCTGTCTAAAACCAAATCACATGTTGAAAAACTATATTCTAAACTTTTAAATAGCTTAAATAAAAACCACATGAGTTTATGTTTTCTATGAATCTATGACTGGCTTCCTTTTGTTCTTTATAAGAGGTTAATGAGATGAAGTTAAGGCTCATCTTAGTACTTAAATGATTCAACACCTAAAAATAGAGAAAAAAAAAATTAGACAATGCTATGATTTGGAGATGCCAGGGGTGTTAACTAAATTATCTAAATATTAGTTGGAAGCATCTGCTTTCAGAAAAGGTGAGCAAAACAGAAAAAGAAACAGGAATAAAGTTTGAAAACTCTCTTGGTTCAAATTCCAATTATTCTGACAGCTGTAACCTATTTATCTATAATACTACACACTAAGTCCTATGAGGTAAAAGTGAGCCTGTCCTTTCCAAATCTGACAGGCCACCAAAATCACCTGGAAAGCTTACTAAAAACATGTTATTATCTGGGCATGGAGGCACTAGCCCTTAATCCCAGCACTCAGCATAGGCAGACATATCTCTGTGAGAGAGAGGACAGCCTGATCTACATAGTGAGTTCCAGGCCAGCCGGGGCTACAGGGAGATCCTGTCTCAAAAACAAAACAAAACAAAACAAAGCAAACAAAAACATATTATCGAAGGCTCTATTCCACACTTTAAGGCATATAGTCCAGGATTTTGGATGTTTTAACAAATCCCAAAGATGACCCCTGTATACACATATCACAATTTAGAACTCATAAAAAGTATAACCACAAACACACATACACACACACACACACACACACAGACACACACACCATATACATACATATATATGTTCATGTGCATGTATATCTAAATATTTCTTATATAATTATTTGTAACAGCACTCAGGAACAAGCATTTAAATGTTCATCAAATGCTTGATGTAATTAAAATTAACTTTTTCCAAACAAAAAGAGCCTTTTGAAACAGAATTATAAAGTAGTCTTGCAGAAGTATAATTTGCATACACCTCTCATCAAAATGAGATGTAGAGTATGCAACCATTCTGATACAGAGTCAGTCCAGCAATCAGAGTGAAATTCCACATCAAGGACAATGCCCTTTCCCACACAGTTTAGACTCAAGGAAAGCACACACTCAGCTGTCCTGTAGTTTTCATAACAAAACCTATCCATTCCAAGTCTCTCAATCCCAAAATTTACTCCTTATTTTTTAGGAGTCTATACAATTTATGACAGTAATGCAAGTATGAAATAAATGTACACAAGAATATTAACAATAGCAACAAATATTTAAAGCCCAGAGATAAACACCTATGAAAGTTCTCAGGTTATTATTTATTAATATGCCTTTTCTTCTTAAAGAATTAGTATTCCTAAATAAAGTCATCTAATATATAGGCTATCAAGCCTTTAAAAAACGCCTAGACCACACTATTGTACCAACAGTGGATATACCTCAATGTTCTATCTATAAGGGTATATTACTGTTCAGAACTAACTTTTATAAAAAATTTCATGAATTTTTTATCAACTTCATTTAAATGTGGGTTTCAGCTTGTTTCTATCACATTATGAATCTAGGGTAATTTCAAAGAATTAACAGAACACTGAGCATTCTCTCTTAGCTTTAGATACAAAAAGAAAATTTTAAAGTCACACTTGACAATAAGTGAAGTACATCCTATGGCCATTTGTAGTAAATCACATATATTAGGTACTAACATTTTGCTAATGTTTAGTTGCTAATGTTTAAAAGTTAAAATATTTAACATGTACAAAATCTTGTGTTCAATTTACAGAACAAGATTATTTTGCTATTGGGTTTATTTCTCCACATGCATATCTTTCAAAGATTATGGAGGCCTATGATCTAATACTTACAGACTGCTGCAAGGACTAAGAAAGAAGTATGTTATATAAATAGAGCTTAGAGAGAAGGAATTGTTTTTGTCACTAAAATATACCATTTTACCATTTTTTCCTATCAAGTTTTAACCATTAATCTTACTCGGATTAGAAAAATAGTTAAACCAAAGAACTCAGAAAGCCAAGGTAATACAATCTTAAGAATTAAAATAAACATAGTGAAAATTAGAATTTAGAGGTGTCTTGAACAAGTATAACCAAAAGTTATCAACTCTCCTGTGCCTGTAGATTATTAACTATTATGAAAATCCCTACAAAGCACTGAGCCAGTATCAACAATCTACACACTAGAGAATGAGGAAAGTGTAGTGTATTCAATCTGACTACCCACAATACCTATTTTCAGGAACATTTATGTTGGGGTGAGAATCAAAGATTTTTTTTAAGTTTTTAGTGTTCTATACACATTTGATATGTTTAAAATAAACAAACACACTTAAATTGCCAATAATACATGATAAAAAAAAATCCCTAAAAGATTTTAATGGGTATATATTCGTAAAGCCTTTACAAAACTTCCCTTTTCTATACTTTCCTGATTGATTTTCTTGGTCAAATCCTAATGGTTCAAAGAACATTTTGGCAAGGAGTCTTGAAAAATGCATAAAACTGAAGAGTGGAGAACAGTATGGAAAAGTAAAGGATTTAAACCCACCTCTTCGGCACTTTCAAGAAGCAAGGCAGAGTGCAGCCCACGCTAAAAATTGCTGGAAAGTAAAATTCTCTAGAGAAGAACAGGAATGTGAGTGTCCCTCATTCTACTCTACTTATGACATAAGAAATTAATGTCTGCAGTTGGACAGACATTAATCCCAGCATGGATCTCTGTGAGTTCGAGGTCAGCCTAGTCTACAAGGTGAGTTCCAGGTCAGCTGGAGTTACAGGGAGACCCTGTCTCAAAAAGAACAACAACAACAACAAGAAGAAATTAATGTCTGCAAAATTAGCTATAATTCCCAAGAAAATAAATACTCCAAAATGAATTCCAAAGGAAAATAACTGGTTACGAAGCTAGCTACCAAGTTCTACCTCAGCAATATTTCTTTAAAATACAAAATGTAAAACAGTACAAAGCCTGGAGTGTTAATAACTTACTTGAGTAGGAACAAGTACAGGAGGGTAGGCCATCTTGTGATGTCTGTATACCCAAAATGCACAGATGATGATCCCCGCAATTAACATAAGTGGCACCAAGGAGTAGAGCAGGATGTTGTAATAGGGTGGCTTGGGTGTGACTGGATTCGAAGTGGCTGTGATAGGGAGGGAAAACAACTCAGACTTGGTCTACACAGTTTTATAACAGTTACCATAAGGTCAGGTTTGGGGAGGGGCAGAATATGGGAAAGCAGTAGTAAAATATTGCAGCAACACACACATTTTGCTTTCAGAACAAACATGTTATTTTCACTATAAACTTACGTTGTGTGACTTCCATCTCCGGAAAATAAGAAAACTTTTCATTACACATATTGCCCTCACAGCAACAAAAATATACTTCAGGGCTGTCTTTTTTTTCTATACAATCAGTCCTATTTTAAAAAGAAACAGAGAATAATTAATATCAATATTATTATACTAACCCTAAAATAGATGTTTTTCTTCTCTGAAATAGGAATCTTTTACACTCAAATTCAATATGTTTGTAAGTATCTAATGATCACTTTTTTAATTTTTAAATTTTATTTTATGTGTATGAATGTTTTGCCTACATGTATTGTTAAGTGTACCAGTGTCACATAATGCCCATGGAGGCCAGAAGAGGGCACTGGATCCCCTGGAATTGGAATTATGGATAGTTGTCAACAGTCATGTGGTGATGGGAACTGAACCAGGGTCCTCCAGAAGAGCAGCCAGTGCTCTAATAATCAATTTTTAAAAGCAAAAATGTTCCTAGATTTCTGATACTAAATCTCAGGAAAAAAAAAAAGAAAAGAAATAACCATCTGTGTTTATAATAGACTCCCTGAGCAATCAAAGATAACTATCTCCTTTTGTTTTTTAAATTATTAGAAAAGCTTGAAGAACAAAAGTCAATGGGGTAGCTTAGTCTAAGAGTGTATTTGTTCATGGGAAATACAGCTTTCCCACTTTGTGAATATTAATCCTGAAAACTAGATATAAAACGAAATAAACTTACACATAAACTAAGTGATACCTAATCTAAACTAGTAACTAGCAGATTTAACAGATATATGAAAGCCAAGTTTTAACAACTTATAAGAAATGTATAATTTAAAATTTAACATTTAAGGGGCTGGAGAGTTGGCTTAGCAGTTAAGAGCACTGACTGCTCTTGCACAAAACCTAGGTTCAATTCCTAGTACCCACATGGCAGCTAGCAATCATCCATAACTCCAGTTCCAGGAAATCTGACATGGGTGCACTTGCACAGACGCAAGCAATACACTCAATTTGACACATAAAGTCAAAATGATAAATAAAATATTTCTGTAAAAACTTAATATTTAAAATCATGCCTCAATGTACAGAAAAGTAACATGATTAAATACTTAGCCTAAATCAAGAAAATTACTTTTTCTACATCCAATTTAATTCTTCTTTCATCATTCTTTACTTCCAAACCTCAACATTCCTTGACTCTTTTCTCTTACTATCTTTTTCAATCAGATTTAAAGCATAAAAACAAGACTCACATATTTTTATAACAGCATTTAATCCCCAGAAACAAAGCTGATGTAGTAATTATCACTCTAAGAGCAAGCATTTTACACTGAATAATGCACTCTACAGCGCTCCAAGTAAATGGCTCCCTACTCACTTAGTGAAATGCTGGATTTAGGTAAAAAGTTCCGTAGTTTTTATTAAAAAAAAAAAAAAAAAAAGAGCTTCCTGATTTGAACTGACTAGTAAAATCTCATTCTGAGTAAAGATGAGCCCCACATTTTTTTCCAATTTCTTCCTATTTCCCTTTTATAATAGCACATATCACCTGGTAGGCTCTTCTGTTTGTAGACAGGATAACCAAAAGTAGAGGCAAAGTATGTAAGTATAGATGAATAATCCTTGGAAATTTCAGACTTAGAAAAATAAACCAAATATTAAATATATATCTAAGTGGTTGTGCTTTAACATCTTATGAAATCGGCACTAAATTTTCAGGGCATATTCACTCTATGTCTAAAGTCACATATGGCTAACAAATCACCAACTCCAGGTAATAATCAACTGAGGCTCCTGAAAATAGATACAGTGTTTAATAGATACAGCACTACATTTTTGCTCCAAAATAATCTAGTTATCCAGGACTCTTGTCATCTGCAGCACCTATTCCTGGTGGAAATCCTGTGGCCCCAGAAGAAAAGTGACCAGTCTAAAGAAAGATTACAGACACTTAATAACATGACCATTCCTGTTTTATTTCCAGTACAAAACAATTTAAACAAGATGTGTTAAATAAAATGCAGTTTTCTATGAGGAAACTGATATAATTCTGAATGTCAACTTAAAATGTATCTGGGGTAAAGAGACTACCTATTTTCTAAGAGGAAAAAAAATGGGAAAAAAGTATTAAGATCAATTTCTTCCAAATATATAAAAAAGAAAATTAAATAATAGAGCATTATTCTTCCTTGAGAATAGATTTCTTCAACAGATATTACATATTCCTTTGAAGCAATTTAATATTAGTATTTATAATGCTAATAACATGGGGAAATAAACTTTTTATGTATTTGGCAGATTACTCAAAATATGTAAAGGACAAAATATAAACATTCCATTTATTATGTTAAAAGGCATATCTGTCATTAGCGCATGTCATAATGGTCTTCATAATTCCACCTTGATCTTTCCTTTTACAAAAGGGGGGCAGAGAGGAGGAAAGTCAATTGATTCTATTACTTTAAAGAAAAAAAAAAAGGAGTATGTTCTTACCGGTCATAGCAGTTGATGTCATCCAGCCAACAGCCTTGTTTCACTATCTCAATTGAACCAGAAATATTCTTCCAGGTAGCAAAACAATGTCGCCGTTTATCTTTGTCACCATAACAGGGCTCAACACCAGTCTGATTGGTTCTATCTCTCTCCCAATTAGCATTAAAGAAAAGACACTCCTGAGTTTCTGATCTACCAAGTATAGCACCTATAAGGTAATAAAACAATAACAATATAACTATATAAGCTCTTAAGAGGTAATTTCTTAAGAAGACAGCAACTTCAGGTTGTTTTTGAAATATCAGTAATATACTGTCCCCCAATATGTAACTTTAGGTTCATGTTCCTAGGTTAATCCCCATGTTTTTAGGTATAAAAAGAACCACAATAATCTGAATTGGCCACATGCATCACAAATTTCTCTGGATAATGTCAGCTTCATTTCACTTAAGAAAAATGAAAAGAAAACTTCATGAAAAGTAGCAGAAATTGTTTATTTGATCTCAACTCTTCCACTGACTTTAAAAAATATTTTGTCCAGACATAACTACAGGAACCAGGACAATGAAAAGGAACCAGGGAGGTAAAGGAAGAGAAAGAACCTAAAAGAGAAGAACAGTAGGAAACAGGTGTTACTAAGGGATGGTTATACAAGGAATCTTGGGAATAAAGAGAAAGAAGGAGCTCAAGAGAGGTCCATAGGAGAAGGGTATTATTAAGGGAAGAAATGGGAAAAAATGGAGGCACTTTAAATGGGGAAACCATGGTGGAAGGGTTGGACAGTGAGAGAGATGAATAATGCCTAACTAGTTTAAAAAAAAAAAAAACAGAGGGAACCATATTAATCGAACAACCTACTGACAAATTACACATACAACTAGCTCAAGGAACAAAATATATGTCTAGTCAAGGTTTATCTGAGAACGTTTGGTTTTTGCCCAAGCTTTATCTACATAGCGCATATTAATTAAAAGTACCAGACTGGTGGAACTAACCTTCTTGGATGTTTAACAGTCATTCATTGAGGCCTATACTAATCTGGTCAGAGAGACTTAAAGGACAGTTTTTGCTCCTTGCCCTCCAAGGTTGACTAAGTTCCAGGGGACTACAGAGCATCTCTCAAAATGTCCTGTAACTGTGGTGAGTCATCTATCCTCTTGATCAAGGAAGCCATGGAGACCCCACCAGATGGACTTGAACCAGTGTCCACTCTACAAAGAGGAGGGTCAACACAGAGGAAACATTTCCTCCATGCTTCCAAGTAAAGCCAGCCATGGTCGAACAGGACCTTTGATTTATCTTTACATAGATGGAACTGGTAAAAGAAAGGAGCCAGGAGCTCCTCCCAAACCCATGTGACCTTTGAGGAACACATCCTCAAATGACCTGAACAGTAAAACTAAATTAGTTTATTTGAGCCAACTGTATGGTCTTGAACACGCAAAAGGAAAGTATAACCAAAGATTAAAGTGATCAGCATAATTAAGAGTCCATGTGTAGGGGCTGGAGAGATGGCTCAGAGGTTAAGAACACTGACTGTTCTTGCAGAAGACCCAGGTTTGAATCCCAGCACCCACGTGGCAGCTACAACTGTCCATAATTCCAGTTCCAGGGGATCCAACAGCCTTGTCTGTCCTCCACGGGCATTGTATGACACGGGTGCACTTTACCTACATGCAGACATAACACTCATACACATAAAATAAAAAAAAGAATAACAAATAAAAATATTAAAAAAAAAAAAAAGAGTCCACGTATATAGCTAAAGGCTATGTAACAAGAAACAATGCCAGACAGGAGATACCTTCCTTTGAGTTGATGGCCAGGGTGTCCCAAGAGACTATCAGATAGTAATCCAGCATAGAACTGGGAAAATGAACAGCAGACCCCAATCTTATCTAAAGCAATATTGGCAACTGATTGGTGCTAGATGAGGAAGCGCTGATCTTCCTAAAACAAGGAACTCTAGATAGGCTGACTAGATTCAGCAGATAGACAAGCACTGGAGAACAGCTGGGGGCACCGACAACACAGTGGACAGTAACAGGGATGAGAGAGTATATGGGCTCCATTGGTGGGGGGGAGGGGGCTATGGGAGGGTGCCATTTGGGGTGCAGGTAATAAAGATGAATAAGATTGTTTGGAATGTTCTATATGAAATACACACAAAAAATTCAATAAATAAAAAATGAGTTATATTTGAAAAAGAAGCATAAAATTTGCTTCATGTTAATTAGTAGATGAGAAAAACATTACCACTGAAATCTACTTGAGGAATTTATATCCATACTCAGGTGCCAAGGATCTCAAAAAGTAACCAACTGTGATATATAATCAGATACATAGAAATTAGAGATGCATGTGAAAACATCTGTTAGTTGCACTAAAAATGAGTTTTTCTGTATGAAACAGTATATTTTAAAATGAAATTGAGATCTTTATTAAAGGTTAAAACCCCATTCAATTCTATGTCTTACGGGGTTTATACTGAGTATAATAATGTATAACTGTATTAATTCAACACTGTGAACCTAAAAGTTACAACCAATTTTGAAAGAGATGCATCTTTGCTCTGGAAACTGTTATTGACTATGTCAATGCTGTTGTAAGGAAATGCTTCTACTAATTAAGTGGTTATTAATATTTTCCAAAAAAAATATTTTGTGTGGCAAAATAAAAACTAAGCAAATAAAATTTTGTATAGTGAAGATGTAGTTCTCTCAAAACTAGAGTATATAAATCATGGTTAGAAAGACTTGGGAATCTGGTAGGCATGTTTTCAAAAGTGAATCTGTTAAACTCAAGAAAGGCAATTTACAATACGTACCGCCAATGTTAAAACATCTGGTGATACTAATAAATATGGCCTTTAAATACTAAATAGTGAAATACACTAATATTTAGAAGGTCCATATAATTCAGAGAATCAATATTTCTTAAAAGAATTACTTGTGAAGTTACAAAAGCACTCATGCATAAAGAAATTCTATTAAATGTGGAAGACAGATCAACAGATCTTACTCATAGAAGGACATGGGATATTTGTTCCCCATTTCTTCCCAGTATGGCCACAGTGAGTGAGTTGCTTTTTTGCTTTAAAAAAAAAAGAGAAAGGAACAAAGGAAAGGGAGAGAAAAGGAAGAGAAGAGGAGGGAAGGAGAGGAAGGACATAGGTGAATCCCAAACAAATAAAAAGAGACTCTTTATTAGTTCCACTTGCAAAATATTCTGGAGAAAGAAAACGTATAGGGACAGAAAGCAGATCAGTGGTGCCAGAAGCTAAGAGCTGGTTAAAAACAGACATGAGGACATTTTGTGGGATGAAGACAATCTTCCATACCTTGACTATGGTGGAAGCATCTGTGTGTGTGTGTGTGTGCATGCATTATATATAGACCAATTCATCTGAAAAATTACGTTTAATCTTATAAATTATACTTAAACTGGACTTTAAAAATGGGCAAGAGGGGCTGGAGAGATGGCTCGGTAGTTAAGAGCCTTGGCTGCTCTTGCAGAAGATCAGGGTTCAGTTCCCAGCATCCACGTGGCACCTAACAACTGTTGTTAGAATCTGATGCCCTCTTGTGGCCTCCATATGCATTGCATGCCAATGGTATACATATACATGCAGGTAAAATACTCATACACTTAAAATAAATTTTTAAAAATTTAAATAGGAAGGAAACTATTTGTCCTTCAGTTTTAGTATATCAAAGAAAAATATCCATGAATATCTAAATAAATTACTTAAATATTGCTCCTTTTTCTAACTATATCTGTGTATGGTCAGATCAAAATAACACATCAAATAACATGACAAAAAAACTGAATGGAGAAACAGATACAAGAAACCCAATGTTTTCCACTAAAGCAATCATGAACAAAAGCTAAAAAATTTAAAAAAAAATAAATCACTAATTTCTTTTTGCTTTAGAAAACATTTTTTATGAAGTTCTCTTCTTTTACTAATATAAAATTAGTAATTTTTGTTTTTAAACCAATTATTTTAAAACTTTGTCCTCATTTCTAACATGGAAAACATTAATGGACAACAATCCAACTTTGAAAAAACAAAAAGGGCTGGAGAAATGGCTTATTGGTTAAGAGTACTGGTTGCTCTCACAGAGGAGCCAGTTTCGGTTCCCAACACTCACATGGCAGTTAACAACCATCCTAATGCAGTTTCAGAGGTTCTGACCCCCTCTTGTGGCCTCCATGGACATTGCACACATGAGTGTACTTATATTCATGCAAGCAAAACACTCATACACATGATTTAAAAAAAAAAAAAAAAAAAAAAGCTCTTTGATTATGGTATAGATATGAAATGTCTACCCTAAAGGTCCGTATGTTGAAGATTTGGTCCCCAGCTGATGGCACTACTGAGAGATAACTGGATATTAAGTGCTCTGGCCTAATCAATGGATCAATCCCCTGATGGAGTCACACAGATTGACACTATTGGGGGCTGGAGAGATGGCTCAGCAGTTAAGAGCACTGACTGCTCTTACAAAGGACCCGGATTTGATTCCCAGCACACACATGGCAGCTGTGAACCGTCCTTAACTCCAGTTCCAGGGGACTCCAAAGCCCTCTTCTGACCTCCTTGGCACTGCACAACACAGGTACACTCACTCACATGCAGGCAATACACTCATACACATAAAAAAAATAAAAAAATAAAAAGAATGACACTATTGAAGATGGGGCCTAGTTAGAGGAAGTAGGTCACTTGTGGCATGCCCCTAGCAAGACACACCTTGTCCCTAGCTCCTTTTCCCTCTGCTTCCCGTCTACCATGAGGTAAGTGGTTTTGTTCCACTACATACTCCCAGTCATGATGTTCAACTCTGTCTCAGATCCATAGTACTGAAACCAACCAATAAGAGACGGAAACTATGAAACTGTGAGCTAACATAAATCTTTTCTCTTTTAAAGTTGTTTATGGTTGGCATGTTGTCATAGCAATAATAAACTAATGTAAGTTTCATGATTTCAAGAGCCTAAATAAGTCTTGAGACCAAAAATGTTGAGAACAGCTGTTCTACAACGTACTATCAGATATGATTATGAGCTTGTGGTATCTGTGATCAGTAATGCTGCCATGGATTTGCTTCAACTAGGGAAAAAATAATGGCATGAACTGACATATTGCAAACTATACTGATAACTATGTCATCTGTATTCTATAAAAGGACTGCTACTACT